AAATGTTGACAAAATTTATTTTAGGGGAAATACACATTCTCTTAACTTGTTCATCTTCTCAATCGTGATAACCCAAAAATGTAACCATTATTCATTGAATATAACAAATAACATTCTCATTCTTACAAAAAATACACTACCAATTGAATAAAACAAATAACCTTTTCATTCATTCATTCATTGCACAACATCAGTCTTATGAAATAAGCGAAACCAATTGAATCACAATAACTTCAACTCCAACCCAATATTTACATTACATAAGTTACTGTTCGTAATCAGAATTCAAATTACATACAAGTTACATTACATAGCAAAAAACGAAAAAAGTACCATTCGTATGTAAAAAATACATCACCAAAATTTGAGATCTTTCTCTTATTCCTTGTTGCTGCAGCTCTCACGATGGCCTTCGTCTTCTTAGCCTACTCCGCAGTGCTCTTCGCGTCTCACCCTTCGCCGTTGTTCGTCCAATTGCACAGTGTGTGGGTGTGTTTCGGACTGTAGAGCATGTATATCACCTTTTAACCCAAAACAAAGACGAATTTTTTTTTTTTTTTTAATGAAAATGGCTAGAAAACAGTTTTACTAAATCGGTTTTCTAAATTACAATATCACCTTCTCTAACGCAAAACAAAGACAAAAGAAAAAATATATATATTTAAATGAAAACGGTTTTAGTAAAGCTAAAATAAATTTTTGAATAACACCTTCTAACCCAAAACAAAGAAAAAAGAAAAAAAATAAAATTTTACATGAAAACGGCTTTAGTAAAGCCAAAAAAAATTAATGAATTACATTATCACTTTCTAACCCAAAACAAAGACAAAAGAAAAAAAATAAAATTTTACATGAAAACGGCTTTAGTAAAGCCAAAAAAAATTAATGAATTACATTATCACCTTCTAACCCAAAACAAAGACAAAACAAAAAATAAAAAAAAATTTACATGAAAACAGCTTTAGTAAAGCCAAAAAATTTTTTGAATTACACATTTTAATCCAAAACAAACACAAAAGAAAAAAAAAAATTTAACATTAGAACGGCTTTAGTAAAGTCAAAAAAAATTTATGAATTACATTATCACCAAAACAATGACAATGGAAAAAAAAAATTAAAAATAAAATAAAATAAAATTTAAATGAACAGTAAAAGCGTGGTTTCAATCCAGGCTTACTGTAGTGAATAGTGAAAGCGTGATTGCAAATCACGTTTTCTTAGGAGAACAAAATGCACAGTGAAAGTGTGATTTGGAACCACGTTTTCTTCAAAAAACAAAATATGCACAGTGAGCAAATCACGTTTTCTTAAAATGCACAGTAAAAGCGTGGTTTAGAACCACGTTTTGTTCAGAAAACAAATATGCACAGTGAAAGCGTGGTTTGAAACCACGTTTTCTTCAGAAAAGAAATTTATGTTAAAAGCGTAATTAAAAGCGTTGTTTGTAATAGCGCTTTCACTATTCATCAAATTTTAAGCTCTAAATAGTGATAGTGTGATTTGTAATAACGCTTTAATCTAATTTAAGAATTCCGTCCAAATTAGGCCTAATTTAAAAATTAAGATAGTAAATTGGCTTAACATGGAAAAGCCTAAAGAAAAGCTATTGTCGTCACCAAAAAGTAGGGGTATACACGGTCCGGATTGGTTCGGTTCTGAGAAAATCCAAGAACCGAACCGATTCTAACGGCTCTGTAATTTTGAGAACCAGACCAGACCGTTACACTTGTAAAACCGGACCAGAATCAAACCGAAAAAATGGTTCGGTTTCGGTTTGGTTTACGGTCCCAAAAATTTCTATTTACAAGAATAAATTGTTAATATTAACAAAATAATTACTCAAACTAAATACATTTAACTTATGATAAAAACTAATAATACTAAGGCATTATTTAATATTACATATCTATACCATCTTAAAATCATTAAAATTATAAAAAACCAATTAATAAAAATAAAACTTGATATTATATATATATATATATCTTTTAAAATTCGGTTCGGTTCGATTCGGTTCGAACCGTGATTTTTTCATAAAATTCATTAACCGAATCGTTTTTACGGTTCTCATATTTCTTAATTCGAAACCGAACCAATTCTTAATAGAACCGAACCAAATCATCCGATTCAATTTAGTTCGATCCAAATTACCAATTTGAACAGATTTTTGAACAGCCGTACCAAAAAGCACGCTTTACACCACTGTTGAAATTGACGCCCGGCGTGTTGCTGGGTCATTGTCTTAAGTCAGCACTCCCTCCATCTACTACAACAACGCACGCTCCTTCTTTCTCTCCTACTCTCTCTCTCTCTCTCTCTCTCTCTCATTCGCTGCCGTTGGGATCACATAAGTCCAAACACTCCTTTGATGGACTCACTCTCGCCGGCGATCGCCCCCAAAATCGTTCTTCCGGCGAGAAATTCTTACCAATTCCTCGGCCCGGTTCTTCCGAGTTTGAGGCCAAGCTTCAGCCGACTTTGCAAGAAGATTTGCGTCCATGCGGAGAACACGACCCCTACGCCGATCGCTCCCGCGATTGACTTCAGCGATCCTCATTGGAAGTCCAAGTTCCAGAACGACTTCGAGGCTCGATTCAACATTCCTCACCTCACTGACATTTTCCGTGACACTCTCCCCATTCCCTCCACTTTTTGCCTCAAGATGAGGTATCTTAAATCTAATTTTTTTTACTATAAGATCCATATGTTTGTTGATTTTAAAATTTTTGGATAAATATTTGGAATTTGGACTTATATATTTGGTCTGAAATTGAAATTTCTGATTGATCGCCTTTTATGTTAATAAATTTGTGCTGAGTTGTGTCAGTTGGAATTATAATTTTCCCCACAAATACTTGTTACCCTTCATTTATGTAGAGCTTGTTACCCTCCATTTATGAGTTGTGTCAGTCAATTAGAACTTTCTTAATTGATCTGTAGCTACCTTGCAACTACATTTTTTTTTTCTTTCTTTTTCTTTTTTCCCCACTACATGACATTATCAGCATACCTCCGCGTGCCAACCCCAGTGTCACCACGATGTCTGCATAGGATCAATTGGGTTTTGTATGCCTAGCCCAAGTAGGGCCATGCACACCATCAAGTATGGATGCTAACTCACTGGTGCAGTTGCCGCTCTAGTAGGCAAGAGCTCTAAAGTGATTGAGTCAAAGTATGTAAAGCCTAATGCCAGAGCCTTCGCTCACTATGATTCTTTTGTGCTGAGTTGTGTCAGTTGGAATTATAATTTTCCCCACAAATACTTGTTACCCTTCATTTATGTAGAGCTTGTTACCCTCCATTTATGAGTTGTGTCAGTCAATTAGAACTTTCTTAATTGATCTGTAGCTACCTTGCAACTACATTTTTTTTTTCTTTCTTTTTCTTTTTTCCCCACTACATGACATTATCAGCATACCTCCGCGTGCCAACCCCAGTGTCACCACGATGTCTGCATAGGATCAATTGGGTTTTGTATGCCTAGCCCAAGTAGGGCCGTGCACACCATCAAGTATGGATGCTAACTCACTGGTGCAGTTGCCGCTCTAGTAGGCAAGAGCTCTAAAGTGATTGAGTCAAAGTATGTAGAGCCTAATGCCAGAGCACCACAGCTTGCCAAGAGCCCTCGCTCACTATGATTCTTCATACCTTGTTCTCATAGGGAACACTCTGCACTGAGTACCCCACGTCATCTTCAAAATAACCTAGCCTGTCGCTCACTTATGTTTCCCCTATGCACTCACTCTCTAAGTGAGGATGACTCCGCTCACTAATATTACAGCCATCACTTGGCAGCCTAGACTAGGATCAGAGCCTAGATAGGAGGAGGGCCTAGATGTCCACTACTTGGGATCATCGGCGGATTGCAGATTGGAAGTTAGGATCACAGGTTTGTCAAGGTTGCTTGGCTGTCTCCCTTTGGAAGATACTCCACCTTGACTAGTCTTAGAGAGAGCGGATGTTGATCTTACACTCACACCTGCTGCTTGCCATCATACACTAAGAGATATCATACCCATCCTACAACTGCTATGATACAATCTTCCCAAGGTCTGAACATAGAATACACCAGTAGGGTCAATATCACCAACTTGTCTAGCTAAGGAGAACTAGCCACCTATGATACAACCTTCCCAAGGTCTGAACATAGGATGCAACAGTGGGGTTAACATCACCAACTTGTTCAGCTAATAACTCGCCACTTGTCCTAAGTAGCTTGGCTCCAATACTCTTGGAATCAATATAAGGGTGTCATGCATGTAGTGACAACACACCAGCACCATCACAACATCATCATAACCAAGATACAAGTATTTGCATGTCTTGCTGACAACAATGTAAGTGTTCAAGGTCTCTTATTGCCACCCTCTCTCACAACAATCCAAGTGCTTAAGGTCTCTCATTGCCACCCTCTCTATCTCTAAGACTACCTTTGTCTTCTCCTCAGCTCCCTTTAGTAATCTGCAGACATTGAAAGTACCCGCTAGAGGTCCACAACCAACCACCTCTAACAGTCCTTACCCACACAAGGCAAATAGAAGTTTGATTGATCTATAGCTATATGCATTTGACAAAATTGCTTTCTCGATCTCTCTCTCTCAATTATTTTTATATCTTATATATATATTTTTATTTATTTGTTTATTTTTCTTTCTGTTGTAGGACTCCCACAGAAGACTTTGCTGATGGGTATCCATCTGATGAGAAGTGGCATGGGTACATTAATAACAATGACAGAGTACTTCTGAAGGTATGGTATACTAATTTCCTGCTAATTTTCAGTGACATCATGTTTTTAGACTTAACCAGTAGTTCAATATAGAATGTAAGAGCGTAGATTATTATTTGGTATGGTAGGAGATGGGCCAACTATGTATATTAAGCTATGTAACTCTCTCATTAAGATGTGATCCCATTTTATACATGAAGATGCGAACAGGATTTATAGAACAAGGTGCACAAACACACTAAACAAAATGCACAATATTAGATACAATGGGAATACGAAGACAATTTATGAGACTTGAATCGGTGACCTGTTGGAATCATAAAATTGATACCATGTTAGATCACCAAATGTTGGGAAATGGACCCAATTGCGTATATCAAACTATTTAATAATTATCAGCTTGCAATTCAAAGTAATTCTACCTTAGAAATTTGGTGTTTTATTCACAAAATGCGAGGCTCCACCCGCTTTTCAACTTGGTGTTTTGTTATGCTTGATTAGACCAAAGCTTTGACATGTAGTGGACCACCAATCATTTGGACACATCTGTACTTCGAGCCTTCTAATATAATATCATTGTATGAGGGAGAGAACCCTAAGTTACTAGAATTGTCATGCCCCGATTTTCAAAGATCAATTAGGCGGAAACTAATTAATCTAAGCGTGGGATTTTTAAGTAAAAACTCTCTTTATTACTTTGTTCATTCTCGAAATCACTTTCCCCAGCCAAGTCTCATTAAGTTCTCAAAATTAGATTTTGTCTCGTAAAAAGTGCCTCATGGCCTTAGATTAAATGACATTGAAAAACGTGTCTGTTTTCTCTTTATCGAGCCTAACTTACCTCTAAGTGACAAAACAAAGTGTTTTTGATAAATTTTGGCTTACATTGGAAAGTGTGTTATTTGATAGTTTTTTAAATAAATCACCTTTTAAGTTTAAAAACTCTAGTGTTCTCTCACATACTAAATACATCCTCACTTGGCGCATAAACCAATAAAATGAAGTACATCATCCAATAATGGAAATAAATGTTTAAGTTATAGACCTGAAATTAATTGATACAATAATTCGATAAAAAGATGTAAAGACATGCAGACCCAATTAACCGAGGGTCTAAACTTAACAAAACAAACTACGTCCTTACACTCACGGTGACGGGTGTCCATCAGTACCTATACAATGCATGGGGGTGAGTATTGACACTCACCAGACAGTAATCTCATTTCTTACTAAGTAAACATGTTAGTGTCGTGATAAGTAAAATTATGCAATGAAATGTCCAATTTTTGGATTAACTTAATCTTATTAAGTTCATCTTACTTAATTAGTTCACACTAGAATAATTAAACAAAAGAAATAATTTGAAATCAATGACTGTCAAGAGTGCATCAATAACTTGCCAACATGGCAATAAACCTGGCTTCACTAACACATACGATGTCTAAATTGTAAATAAGGACATAATAGGTCCTACCCTGATCACGTCCCAAACTACTCTGAATTGCATGTTAGAAAGAAACTCCATTCTTAACCACTAGAGGCTACTACTATAAACTGCGCAGTGTCCGATGTTTTAACCTGCAAATAGTTGGATCTACTATCTCCTCAAGCTTACTGGACCACAATACTAGCTATAAGTCTATAACTCGGGCCACACCCGTAAAATCAGTAATATTCGGACTCGCAAAAAAATAAAAAATAAAAAATAAAAAACTAAGGTTGCGTTTGGTAGAGTTTTGTAAATATGATTTGAGAATATGAGTTGTATTTTGAGTTTGTGAGTTTTGGGATTATGATTTGTGTGTAGAAAATTTGTTTGGTTATGAGTTTTGAAAAGAATTTTAGATTGAGTGGGGAATTTTTGATGTGACATATGATATTTGATACAAAAACTAACAACTCATAACCAAACACACAACTCAAAAATTCTATACAAAACTCATAAAAAAAAATTTTAATTCGGAAAATATTTTTTATTTAATATATAAAACATAACATGTGTCAATTCCAAAAAAAATAAAAAATAAAAAAATTTCACTGGTGGGGACGTCCTATGGGACATCCGGGGGGTCGACCGGGGGAGGGACATCCGGGTGACAGAGTTTTCAAAGCAAAGCGTGGAATTGATTTTTAAAAACCGTAAACAAACACGCATCTCAAAAATACACCTGAAATCACATTTCCAAAACACAACCAAACAGAGCCTAAGTGTAGTAAATATCAACATTGGTTATTTAATACTTAGTTGGATTTTCATACTTTAGAGTAATTTCCAAAAAATTGCTCATCTTTTGTCAACAATACTCTTCCTTGCCAATTTTACCAATTTGCCCATAGGGCTATAATAGTAATATACTCTAAGTTTGAAATGACCAATATGCCCCTAAGGCATAATTTGACCAAATTTTCCATAAGGGTACAATTACCAAAGTGTCCTTAAGGCATTAATTACCGAAATGCCCTCAAGGCATGAGATTACCAATTTATCCTTCATTAACCTCAAGTTAATTTCCTATGTGGCAATTTCAATCAAATAATCCAAAATATTCCCAAATGACTATTTTACCAATAAAGAGTCAAGATTACCTTTGTATCCTTATAAGTCCCAAATTCATTAAATAATCCAAATAGCTCATAAACACAATTAAAATAATAAAATGGGCAAATATCACTTTACACCCCCTCATCTATGAATCCATCATTTTGACCCCTTCAACTTTAAAAAAGTATCACTTTCACCCCCTTGCAGACCATCTCTCCAAACCACCTCCAAAAAGAGTGTATTTGTACAATTATCATAGTTGGGGGAGTCAATATGTATGGATTCATAGATGAGGGCAAGATTGTTAAAATCGAGATCCTAGGTAGGATTGATGAGAGGGTCTGGTGGATCGGATCATAGGATCGGATTCAGGATTGTAAGATCTTATTTTCTATTAAAAACAAAGATAAAAATACAAATTAGAACTTTACATATTAAAAATAAGGTGAAAAATCATAAAATCTACAGTCCTACTTACGATCCTACCTACAATCTTGCACGATCCCATATGATCCTACACGATCCTACTTGTGATCTTGTTATAATATTGATCCTACAACGATCTGGATCGTTTTAGCAATGTAAGATCATAGGATCGTACAATCCTACGATTCGAAATGCAAATTTAATAACCATGGATGAGGGGGCGGTAAAGTAATATTCACTAATAGTTAAGAGGGTCTTAGTGTAATTAACCCTAAAATATCCAATGGGATTTATTAAAATCAAACGAGGCATAATCAAAGGGAGTCTTTTGAGCCTATTCATGTCTTTACAGTAAGGTCTACGTAATAAAAAAATGTTTCTTTTGTTATATATTGTATACATTACTATTTTATCAATCTTTAATTTAATTTTTATTTTCTTATCATATTATTCATTAAATAGATCCAACTAGACAAATGGATCCATTAAGCTAACTCGTTTGGGCTAGATACCAAGTTATCAAAAAAAGGTTAAACACATCAAACTCTAAATTTTAGGATATGCTGACTCGGCAAAAAGAATAAAAAAATTAGATATGAATATGGGGATACGTTGTCTAATTAGAAGGATTGCAACCATATCCCATGCCTGTGTTGGGTTGGGTCGACACGGTTACTTGAAGATTCAATGTAACATAGCTCTCCAAGCAAGGGTTTCTTTGCCTTTTACCATTCCACAAGTTTATGCATCGACAATGAAGGGAAAATGCTTGCTACATGGAAGATAAGGTATTGCAAGTTTGTGCTAAGAAATTTTCAACCAGTATCATTGTTCATTGCAATTCTAGAGCCATGGTCCAAATCCTTGCAAAGCTAGTTCGTAGGTCTTCTCCTTAAAATATCATTTCTAACTTTCAAAAACATTGAAAAGCTACAAATGGAAATTAAATTTTGTCAATCGTTCAGAGCATGCAACTAAGTACAGATGGTTTCGCTACTATAGCTTTCTGCACAGAAAACTACAGATTTTATCACAGGTGAGCAAGGTTTTCAAAAGCGGCCGCAACCGTTACATAACGCTATTACGTAACGGTTTTGGCGGTTACCGCCACCCGTTACGGCCGCTTTTGCAGTGTGATTGAGATTCACAGGTGTGTCGGACGTAGCGGCTGCCATAGCGGTGTCATAAACAGCCATAACGGCCTGTTATGCACCGTTACGTAATGGTTCCAAACTGTTTCTTTCTAAAAAACACACAAAAAAAGGTTGAAAATGGGGGAAGAGAGATCGAAAGAAGAGGGAAGATAAAGAGAAAAAATGGAGCAAGAGATAGAGAGAGGGAAGATGAAGAGCATGTTATTGATTTGTTGAAACTGTAAGACCTATGCTATTCTATTCAGCCGCTATCACTAAACCATTTTGTTTGTGTGTGTCTA